GGACCATTTTTCTTGCCAGAATCTATTTTATACATTTTTAAGTTTACTGTTCAGTGAATATTATTACATCCAGTCTGGTGCTTCTGCTATGTATTTGGAGATTATTGATAAAGTACAAAGAAGAATCTGCAATGTTATTGGTCCTGATTTGGCATCTCAGCTTCAGTCACTTTCCAACCACCATAATGACGCTTCCCTGTCCTTTTTCTATAAATATTTTTATGATAATTGTTCTAATTTGCTTTTTCCTTTGATACCTAGACTTTATGAATTTAAATGCAGTACGAGATCTCATCATTGGCAACTTGTCATCATTTTACAGTTGAAATGGCTAGTCTATGCTAACAGTTTCTTTTCTTGCTTGTGAATCTCTTCTGACTTACCAGTCAACTTTGATCTCCAAAAATTTAAATGCAATATCAATCATCATCTGTCTTCCTAATATGTCTTATATTATTGGCCTCACTCCTTAAAGTGTTTTCTTTTTCTCATATTCTTTCACACTGAAACCCTTTACGTCTTAGTGGCTTTATTACTTTGCTTGGGGTGAAACGAATCAAAAAAAAAAAAAAAAAAAAAAAAAAAAAAAAAAACAACAACAACATCTGATTAAACTATACAATTTCAATTATAAGTAAAGCATTCCTCCTGCTAGGTTGGGTAGTTAATTCCTGCTGCAGATGCCTGCTCAATTACATTTTTATGGTGATCACCTCCAGAGCCAACCTATAGCAACTATATTGAGCAGACATTAGATACAGTTTCTGGAAGAGAACAGATAATCTGGTGTGATCACTTACCAAGCAAGGCTAGTACATTCAACCCATCAGTCACGATGACTTGTGACTTTGTGCTAGCTCAACCATCAATAGTTTCTGCACAGTTTCATCTACCCAAATTCACTTTTATGGCCTGGATCAACTCGTGGCACAGGGTAGGATCATCTCCCTGGGCCAATATTATCAAGGGACACCTCCTTAACAAATCAGACCTGTGCAAAATTCAAACCCAGGTCTTGTGATTGGGATGCTTGGGTTCTACCCACTGGACCGCACATACACATTAAAATAAAATAAACAATAATTTAACTATTGTTCCCACACATATATTCTGTCTAACTTATAAAATAATGAAAAGCGTTGGACAGTTTTCTATAAAGGAGAATCTTGTGTACACATAATGACAGCATAAATGGATGAGCACTGTAAGCTTTTTAACCTTTTCAAATTGAGTGCAGTGATATATAAAAGCTGAAAAGCAACAAGACAACACTGCGGCAAAAAGGCTGACCCAAGCCAAAAAACTGCTGCTGATTGCACATTTTTTTTTAAACGAAATAATTGGTAGAAAACAATAAGATGCAGGATAATATCAACATTTGGCAATGGGTGAATTTTTCATTTATTTATTTTTTTTTAAAATAAACATAGTATAAGATAAATTTCTCAAAATCTTCTGATTAACAGGAATATTTTTTAAAGCGATTTTTTTTCTATATCTCCAGTTTAAAGATTTTAATAAATTCTAGTCAATTTACCAAAAAGGATTCTGAAATTAGTGCACTTTCAATATATTTTTCCCTTAATAAATTACTTTGTCTTAACTAAAACTACATTCTTTAACTCAACTTTTTGATCAAACCTACTACAATGAACAACTAATGCAATGAGTGTGTATTATTTTGTAAAAAGATCCCTTTGATGTTTCATAAAATTTCTTTTTTCATTTTCTCAATGTTTCATCTGTGTATTTTCTTGCAACATTTTTTACAATCTATTCTGTAAAATTCCTGCTTCAGGTTTAATATTATTTTGTTTTGTGCTACTTAAATTATTGTTTTACAAGTCATTACAACAAATTTTACATTAAATTTAGATAATTTTTATTTCATTAGTAATTGTTATCGAGTTAGTAGGCAGTATTTTTGTACAGACACTGCTAGAAATATATTATACTATATTTAGAAGCCACATGGCATTTCCAAGTAAGCACGTCTGGTAGGAGGGCCAGCTCATCCCTGTTGCAGACACCTGCTTAGGCACATTTGGGCTTATTCAACTCCTCCCTGTGGCTTATACTCCAACTATGCTGACTTGACCTTAGTTACAGTTTGTAGGAGAGAACAAATAATCTGTTATGATCTGTATCTGAACAAGGCCAACACCTTCAAACCCTCAGTCCTGATGACTTGTGGTGACCTGTTGTATGGTTTTTAGGCACTACCCAAAGGGGCCTGGTCTCTGGGATCATCTCACCATGTTGATATTAAAGAGTCACCTCCTTGACAAGATCATCTTGTGAAATTTGAACCAGGGTCTCATGCTTGAAATATTAATGTTATAACCACTTGGCTACACACAATATATATATATATTTATTAATTGGCCTCATTTCTCTAGTCTTCAAATGTTTCAGTCCAACACTATGTTGTGAGCTGTCCCCAACTCCATTAGCCATGTTACATTAAGATATGTCAAATGATAAAATTGTGCAGTTTTCTCTTCATATGACACCAGCACCCACCTCACCCTCACTGACAACATAGCATACCACAAACAACATGGCTAGCAAATCAATACAAGATTTGGAACTGGACAGCTTTTCTCCAAGTCAATGAATGAAGCAACCAAACCATTAGAAAACAGACGAAAAAAACAATATTTAAAAAAAAAGTTTAATTGAAAATGAATTATCTTAGTCTCAGAATTGAATTTGACAGAAAATGCAGGAAAGACAAATTGAAAAGTAACTTTAAAATATAATATTCCATGAAAACGTACACAATTTTAATTACATAAATAATGGGGGTAATGAATTTAAAGTCATTCCTGTTGACTAATATTAACTAAATAATGCCTAGTGTCATGTTTTAGGGACATTGGACATTATAGGTAGAAAAATGAATACATTAGTTTTTTTTTTTCTTTTTCTTTCTTCAGAAACCTATAAGTAATAACATTTTACAGTCCTAAAATAAATAATAGATTTTTTAGAAGTCTATAATTAAAACTATTTTTTAGAAATTTATAATAGCAAAATTTTATTTTTATAATTAGTACTGGATTTTATGGTGGGCACTATGATGGTAAGAAGTTATTTTAAAACATTTAATTACACTAACAATTCCAACAGTTTTAAATTGGTTTATATATTATAAAGGAAAAGAGCTAAAACCTTCAAGACAAAGCAAAGAAATATTCCTGGCCACTAGCACCATTCTGAAATTGATATAAAGAATATAAACGTGTGCAAACAAGAAGGCCACCAGTGCTCAAGAAAAGCCAAAAATGCTTAAGAGGAATTATAGCTGCTTCTGATCAGAGTTGCAAATGATAGCCAGTCAAAACATTTTTATCATAAACAGAAAGTTAAAGAATTATGGAAACTGCTCATGTCAGCCATATTTGTTTATGAGTCTATGTACATAAGAAATAGATTTTTTTTTAAGTGTTTCATCATTCTACAAAAGAAATGAAGAGAAAAAAGAAGAAAAAATATTTGAAAGAGTCCAAACTATACTTTTGTGAAGTTTTGAAACCCTGAAAGGAAATAAAAACCTTATTAAAATGTACAAAGATTGTAATGTTTTTAATTCTAAAGCTCAATTCAGTTTCACTGAAAGCTGAAAAGTGGAAATATCCAGTCTTCTGTTTCCACTGATTTTTATAAATTTTCTCACTAAAAACATCAAAAGCATTATTTGTTTTCTGTCAATTATAATAATGCATCAAAATTTAATTACTACAGAGTGTACAACTTTTAACAAAAGGCAAGCGGTCGCGACCCTCATCAAAAGGCAAGCGGTCGCGACCCTCATCAAAAGGCAAGCGGTCGCGACCCTCATCAAAAAACAGCGGTCGCGACCCTCATCAAAAAACAGCGGTGGCACGACCCTCATCAAAAACAGCGGTTGCGACCCTCATCAAAAAACAAGCAGTCGCGACCCTCATCAAAAGGCAAGCGGTCGCGACCCTCATCAAAAACAGCGGTCGCGACCCTCATCAAAAACAGCGGTCGCGACCCTCATCAAAAAACAGCGGTCGACCCTCATCAAAAAACAAGCAGTCGCGACCCTCATCAAAAGGCGAATGATGAAGCTTTAAATGTTACATAAAAATTTTTTGCTTTTCTTATAAAATAGAAAAGCAAATGCAAAGTGGCTACATGGTCCTATGTAAACTTTAACAATCCATTTTTCCTGATTAAGCAAGACGGTCACATAAGAATATTGTCAAGTGTTCTCTTGAAGGAAGGCACTTAAGAAAGTATAAACAAAATTTTGAGAAATAAGCTATAAAACAAATCTTGCTATGAACACAAGTGCCGAGAGAAGCTCTTTGAAAGTGTCAACTTCCCTTAACATGTAAATAAATATATACAGGTTTTCCTTTATAGAAATAACAATCAACAATCAAAGCAAACTGTTTTCTTTCAAAATTGTTAAGTAATCAATATTAAACAAAAATCGTAGCATACTTTGTTAATATTTTAATCCTTCACTTCCTTGATTTTAAAAAAAAAAAAAAAAAAAAAAATCAGTTTTATAAAGCAATAGTGACAAATTAAACATACATGCTGATTAATGCATAAAAAGTTACATTGAATTTTGGTGTACAATTTCAATAAATCAAAAAAAATATGACCTCATTTAATTTGCATATTTTGACAATGATCTTCAAAATGAAAATAAAAACCTTTTTATTAAAAAAAAAAAAAAAAAAAAAAAAGTTATAAGACAGTTTTAAAAGGATTCTTTTAGTTACATTACCAAAGTTAAGTTAATTCAGAAGAATCCAGGATGCTGCAAAGCAAGCTAGAATATAATACTCTGTTAGGAAAACAATTTGGAAAAAAAATTCCTCCCTTTGATTGAATTATTAATTAGAGGTTAAGCAACAAACAAAAATTGCTTAGAAAATAAAAGAAAAAAGAAAAATGAATTAAACCAAAATAAAAAAGGCAAAATAAAGTAAAAAAAAAAAAAATTGAAAAAAACTTACTTGAACAGATTTCTCTTGGTTAGATATTTTCATTTTGAATTCATCAATCTGTTAAAAAATATTAAAGTTGTTTCTATCAACATAGCCATTGGATATCTCTTCAGAAAACAAAAAAAAAAAAACATTTAATCACTAATGTTTGTGAATTCAAACTTAGTCTCAATTTAATTTGAAAAATTTAAATTAATAGATAAAACACTTTGTACAGTTGCCTGGTTTGTTTTTATGGTATATCAACATTTTTATTTTACTTAAAGCCAAAATATATTTCAGATTCTAATAATAATTTTATTTTGCAAGTAAATTTTGCATTAATATTAATATTTATTTTTATAGATCCTACTATTTACCCCATAGCTGGGGGAGAAAATGGATTCATACTCTCCCAAGGGTATTTGCGCATAAATGAATGTAACAAACCCAATAGGAATTCAAACTCAGCTCTCTGATTTCTTATAAAAAGTTGCTATCCATTACACCACCCACATATCCACTTTGTATAGAATTAAATTTAAAAAAAACAAAAACTTTACACTTTTTAATATTCATCTTTAAATTGAAAATGCAGCTCTTAAATTGAACAAAATCATTAAAAAAAATGAGATTGAGAAAAAAAAATTGCTTTAATATCTAAATCAGGAAAAACTGAATTAGGATTTTGAGAATGGATATTTTTATTTTTATAGCTAATGATGGTTTATATTCTAAATCTCTGATTTTTGGTTTGGTTTGGTTTGGTCTGACAACATATCAACTCTTATGGTTCATTTAATGATGAAATTTAATTTTGTCAGGAGCTTTGATTTTTTGATTTTTTTTTTCACAAATGTGCTACTGGTAATGTTTTTACTATGAAAATGTATTGCTGGTATTTTAATGTTTTAACCCTAGTTTGAGGGTTTACCATTTGCAATTAGCTGGGACCCTAACAGGTGCTACCATCCTGGGTCAGGGTGAACCTGGGAACAACAGCAATTAAGAGGTGGTTCCATGCTCCTCAAAACCTCCTGATCAGAGGCCTTGCTGCTGGATGCAGTTTATCATCATACCCAGGATGACTAAATCCCTGAAGTCCTCCCTCTGGACATAACCAACCTCAAATACACATTAACTTTTAAATACATAAACGAGGTTACCATTGTATTGTTCACAGCTTTCTGTATAGGTGTTCTACAATTTTTATCTATACAACTGACTATTATTTGTAAGAAAAATCTTTATTTGTGATGATATTCATTCATTCATCCATACATCCTTGGACTCAATGCCATTGGTGTCAACAGTATTCTATATAATCGCTCTCCCATGGGATCATCTATAGTTGTTTAAACTCTGTTGTGTTGTTGTTTTACAGACATTATCTGGACTTCATGTCTAACCATCTTTGTGCAGCTTCAGGTGGGTTGGTTATGAATTCAAAGTTGTCCTTCTCTTAGACTGGTTGCCAACCAAGGCTAGAGAACCCAAATTGCTCTTTCAACAATGTATCTGTTCCATTGAATAGCATTGGATTACTGACCCCCAATGATAATTAAAAGCAGCACAAGATTTGAAAGAATCTCCCTCTTTCTGTGGTGACTTTGATAGCAAAAGGACATGCTCTTCCCTTTCCTGCTGGCATGTAAGTACCTCAGTTATAGTCACTGAAGGTTGCTTTGAACTTTTCACATTTTTAGAATGTTCCAGATTGCTATGTGATATTCATCCTCTTATATGGCAGTGAATGCTGGACAATTTACTCATGGATGAAGAGAAAACTGGGGTCAGCAGAAATTGGATTCTACAGAAGGATGCTAAGAATTCCATGAGCAGAGTAACTAAGCAACTAGGAAGTTTTATGTTGCCAATCTAACCATTTTGAGGATGGTTAAAAAAAAAAAAAAAAAAATGGTTTCTTTAATAATAAATTATTATAATAAATAACCACAAAAAGAAGTTAATCTGAACAAACTTGACAGGAGTAAATTTAGGATTTTGAAATCCCCATGAAAAAAAATTTATTTGCTAATAATCCTTAGTAAAAAATTTAATATAGGCACCAGTCATTTAAATATAAATAATGTATAAATCAATTCAAAACATGCCTCCCTATACAAAAAAACGAGTAAAAAACTAAATTTTAGAAAGTACACTATCATTAGTTCTTTTTCAAAATGGAAAAATGTAGCTCACTCTTTATATATATATATTCAAGAATGTCTGGTTAAATAATTTAAATGTATTATGTCTGTTTATTTTAAACCTTTCAAGCCCATGGATTCATTTTTTAGTGGCTGTCAAAAATTGATAAAGAAAAATTCCAAAATATTTTGAATTTTGTGGTGTTCTTGTACATATATCCAGAGACATTTAACCCCTGAAGATGATCTCAGACAAGATTGAAAGTACTTGGGAAAATAAAAATTCTTTGGAAGAAAATTTTGGAATTTTTCTTAATCAATTTTCTACAGCTACCAAGAAATTAATCCATGGACTTGAAAGTAATAAAATTAAAATAAATAGACATAATACATCTAAATTATTTAACCAAAGATGCTTGAATGAAAATATGTTTATATATATATATATATATATATATATATATATATATATATATATATATATATATATATATATATTAAAGGCAAATATTATTAAAGGCAACAGATATCTTGTTTTGATTAATTTTAATGATTGACTTTTCAAAATTATGTATTTGTCCTTCACAAACAAAGAGGAAATTCTGTCATTTCAGAAAAAATATACAAGAAATATAGCCTAAGCTTTTAATGAATAACAAAAGGAAAACTTTTCTTTACCAATGTGACTCATGCCCTAAGGGATTTTATCAAGGTAAATATAAGGATTTTATTTTGCAACATGTATTTATAATCAGAAGTGGAGGAAAAATATTTCAAAATTTTAAATTTAAGAATGATTGAAAATATTCTTAAAGCTGTGTATGCAAACAAACTATGGAGGACCCTAAGTGATGTAATTTAATGCCTAATAAACAAAAGTTAGTAAATGTTACTGATGAATTTTTATTTTCTTATTTGTTTATATATATTTATTTTTTAAATGTAATTATTATTTATTATTTTATTTTAATTTGATAAGTTATTGTATGGATTTATTTTAAAGTTGACCATTTTCTTTTAACTTTTACAAATTTTTATGGTTTAACATAATAAAACCAAAGTTTTATCACCAAAATCTTTGTTATTATTAAAGTGAAAGGAATTCTGATATAAGATATTTTTTTTTAATCCTTTTTAAAATCTTGGAAATTTTGGTCAAAAATCTTGTTTTTCATATTAAATTTACATGAGAAATTCAAGTTTTTTTGGCAGTGAAAAACACATTAATTTGAAAATTCTTGCAACAATCAGATAATTGTCAGTTTCATTAAACTTTTAGGGCTTAAATGAATGAATTTATTTATTTAATATTTTTTTTTTTTTTAGAAAATCTTAGTAAATGTTTCTTTTTTTATTTATTTGTTATCCACCACCCATTTAATTTCATGAAATTTTGACAAATTCTTTTTTGTAACACTTAAGGTTTATATTTGTTATAAGGACAAGTCCTTGGAGAATTCAAACCATAATTTTTTTTGGCATTCAGTAAGCAGCGCAGGAGATAACTCCTGAAAGGCTCCAAAAATTTGCAGGGGTATAGATAGAACACATGTTGAAAATTTTCAATAACATTTTCACGTAAGATTTATAAATCTGTTTTTTGTATCATTATTAAGTAATAAACATAATATGTGTCAGTTTTTAAAAAATTTGACAAATTTCATTGAAATAGTTAATTCAGGGATACCTTTTGTGTGTGTGTGTGTGTGTGTGTGTGTGTGTGTGTGTGTGTGTGTGTACTCACACAAAAATAACATTTTTGATTTAGTTAATAAATAAAAGCCTGTTTCACACTTATTAATAACTGTTAGTAAAATTAAAAATTACTTTTTGTGTATTAAAAAGCTCTTTTAAAAGTACTTAAAATACAGTAGTTTATATATATATATATATATATATATATATATATCATGTGAAAATATATAGAAAATAGGAAGGAACTGGTTAGGTAAATAATCCAAAGTTCCTTAGTATTTTAGTTATTATTTTTAAAAAATAGTGCTCGATACAAAAGTAAAGCATAAATATAATTATTTATTTAAAAATATGATTCCAACTCGCGACATAAGAGGTCTCATGTTTCAAAACAAGAGCTGAAAACTTCAATATAATTATTTGAATTAAATTGAGTTAAAGTAAGCTCTGTTCCATCTTCAAGCGAAATTTTTTTGGGAATAACGTATTTCTGAAATTTACGTGTTTTAATAATTGAAATCAAAATTTCCATGGTAACAGCTAGGGCGAATTGTTTAAATTGGATAGGCGTGTGTTGGGTGTTAATAATAAGTATCAATATAGAGTTACTTTCATGGATGTCAAGTCAGGGAAAGATGGGGGTATCTAAATTTGAAACGGAAGCTGTATTAACCCTAGTTTAGCATGCATGTCTATGGAGATTTATTTATTTTTTTATTTTATTTTTTTATGAAAGGGATTTGTGCATATAAAAAAACTGCCGTAACGTTTGTTTTTTGACGACTTCATAAAGGGTTATCTTTTTTGTAGGGTATTTAAACTATTTATTTGGGCTATGGATTATGAAAGTTATTATATTGTATGCTTGTTTTTAGCTAATAATTCAAACCTATAAATCTGATGATGTCGACAGAAAACTTAACTCATGCCTATTGTTTAATAGATTATTATTTAGAAGCTTAATAATGTGCAATTTCTCATGGAGGCACAAAGGGCATGGGTCATCCCAAGTTTTACATGTTCTAGCCTTGTTTATAATTTTCCATTTTACTTTAGGTGTCCTATTTGTTTCCTTCAGTTGCCAAAAATACTTAGATAGGGAAGTCTGATTTCTTTTATTTATATTACTGAAAGAGCACTTATGCTGCCTCCATCTATCTTTAAAATTATTCTTCGTGGACCCAATGTATATCATATTAGTGCTAGGACTCTCAGTGGATGATATAGTACATTGGTATACCACAGATTTAATGCAACATTTATTTTCTAATGGGCAGTCTTCTAGGTTTCTACAATTACATAATTTTTCTCTTTTATTGTCTGATAAAATGTATCGACTCCATTTATTAAAAAAAAAAAAAAAAACCTAAAAAACTTTGGTCTGAAGAGATAAATATTTGTATATTCATGAAATAAATTATAACCAAATGGATTTTTAAGGATCGTCTGTACTCATTATTGAGAGAGAGAGAGAGATTTTTCACTTGAGGAGGCAGTGTTCTCAGCCCTAAGGAAAATAACATCTGATATTTAGTCAGTTGTTGGGAAGTGGGTCATGCTAAGAATTTTTCAGCACCCACTCTATGCATGAAAAAATCTTTTAAAGTGAAATTCAGACATATCGTAATATTTTTACATCTAACATTTTTCATAATGAAAATAATTACTAAATGTCTTCCAGAAGAGTGTATTTGGAATTATTTAAGAAAAAAAAAATCCTACTTGAAAAGAAAGTTACAATGGAGAAAAGATTATCATTAAATTCACTCCCTCACAGATTATCCTACACTATGTATAATGCACAAAAAAGGGGATTATTTTATTGTTTTTTTTTTTTTTGCACACATATTTTTTGACTCATATGCAAATAAGTAAATAAATAACAGTACTTTAAAATTAGCATTGGTTATCCCCCTTGAAATATGTAACCCTCACCCAACTCAGCACACACACACACACACACACACACACACACACACACACACACACACACACACTTCAGTTCTACATTATCATTTAATTAAATTCACCTTAATATATACAGGGTGAATCAAAATACCTTTAAAAAATTTGGGGCCTGTTCCTCATACCAAAACAAAAACAAACATCCATATAAACATATGTCCACAAATCCTTTGTTTTTGAGTTATTAAATTTAAAGTTAGTTTATGGTAGATGTCACTGTGTTGCCATACAGACAAGGTTACATTTGTTAATCGTGTACATTTGTGGCTAGTCTGTCTTCAATGTTAACCATGTGTAGTAGTGAGTTAACTGAGAAGTGTTCTGTTTAACAATGGCAGGATATTCATATCGTAAGCAGGAGATTTTTACATGCAGCCACATGAATGATAATGGACACAAGGCTGCATGGTTTATCAGATTGCATTTCCAGACCGAAGACATCTGAGTCATCCAAACTTTGCTGCTATTTATCGTCACATTTCTAAGACAGGATCTGTGGCACCACACACTATGAATCAAGGAAGATTGTATGCCTGATCACAAAGAACACATTCTACAGGTTGTCAGCACACGTCAAGTGGCCCTATCATGTCTTACATCTCATAGTACCATGTGGAGGGGACTTCAAGAGCAGCTTCTGTATCCGTATCATTTGCAACATGTGAAGGTCATATCTTGGATTGGTCTATATATATATATATATATATATATATATATATATATATATATATATATATATATATATATATATGGTTTTGCATTCTAAAAGTTAGTTCATTTTAGAAGTAACTTTATTCAATAGAATTTAATTTGGCACTCTAAGTTCCAGCAGCTCCCACGGTCTGCCACTTTTTTTGAATCAGCTGCCATTAGTTTGTTGAATGACTATGAGGGCAACATCACATCATGTTTGCAGCCTACAGCAGCAGAGTGTTTTTGGTGATACGGCCTTGCTCTTTTCATATATATAGTTGCATATTTACCCATTCAGGATGGTAAGTATATATCAATTTTTGTTTTAGGCATTTTTTACCTTTTGTATTGAATAAATCAATAAATGATTTGTGTTCATCCCCCCCTCCCCAATCAGCAGGGCTTGCTTAGACAATCCTGAAAAGCATGGTACAAAGAGAGAGAGGAAAGTCATGCAGAAAAAGAGCAGGGAAGACAATATTCCAGAATAGACCTAATCATGAATTTCCTTTAATTACACCATATTATTTGGTATGACAAGCAATCCTGTATTTTGATCATGCTGTCCATCACACTGTTTGATCAAGTCATGTCTTTCCGTATAACAGTTTGATGTTAAGGCACTTTTACAAGAAGAAATATGGGTCAGAAGCTTTACTATTCTGGTGCTTAAAATTGTACAGTCCATTTTTATTCTGACACTGTGGTCTGGTAACTCACATTGTCCAGCATTTTTTGAAACTGTAACTATTAGTTAATTGAACATCTCTAAGGACAATGCTACATATTTACAACTTTCGACAGCAGCTGACAGCAGCAGTGTGTTTTGGTGATACTGTCTTGCTCATTTCTTATATATATCTGCATATTTACCAATTCAGGATAGTAAGTATATATATTAGTTTTTAGTTTTAGGCTTTTTTTTTTTTTTTAGCCTTTTTACTGCATGGAACAATGAAAAATCTTGCTTGGAAGCATTAAATGATTGTTGTAATTCCTGTTCGAAGCATTGTTCTGCCTTCCATGACACAGCAATATATATATGTGGAATGATCTGGCAAGACTGTTTAAACAGAGTTTTCTTTAGAGGTGATTTCTATATCCACCAGTAGCCTGATCCCAAGGTTACCAGATTAAAAAGGTCAAAATGTATCTCCAGATTCAGTGCACTGTTTTGGCTACTTACAATTTATATAAACATACAAAATCAATTTTTTAGTATTATAGATTTATTAAAAATTGAATAGTTACATTTAGTCAACAAATATCAACAGTAAATTTTTTTTGAATGAACAATAAATAGAAATGGATCTATTCTGTTGATTGACTATCTGAAAAAGCACAACAAAATGGGTTAGACTTTACTGGTTGACCTAGTAACATAACAAATCCTTGGTTATTTTCATTTGCATTCTCAGTGTGTATTGTATACAAAAGTTGGAGGTAAAATTTTAACATAGAAAAATAAATTATCACAACAGACAGTAATCATAGAGTTTGCGTTATTGTTTAAAATTAAATTTTAATAATTTTCAAATTTTATTGCTGTTATTTTACATTTGATTTTTGCAAAGACGACTGACCTTTGTCGGCAGAACAAGATTTCCACCCTCCCTCTCAAAAGATCTCATTTTCGCCAATGTTTTATTTTTACAAGTATTTAAGGATATTAAAGCTACCACAAAAGTAGGGAACAATAATAAACTATAAAAGATTTTCAACATATTTCTTGAAAGAATGGATTCTTAATAGAAACTGAAGAAAGCAACAAATTAAAAATAAATTAAATGCCATGAAAATAGTATCTTTATTTGCAAACAAAAAAAAATTTTTTTTTTTTTTTTTACTACAAAATAAAATAAACTTAAGAGAAATGCTGAAATTCATTAACAGAACCAAAGGCAAGAGCTAAAGCATTCATTGACGGAACCAAAGGCAAAAGCATTCATTGATGGAACCAAAGGCAAAAGCATTCATAGACGGAACCAAAGGCAAAAGCATTCATAGACGGAACCAAAGGCAAAAGCATTCATAGACGGAACCAAAGGCAAAAGCATTCATTGACGGAACCAAAGGCAAAAGCATTCATTGACGGAACCAAAGGCAAAAGCATTCATTGACGGAACCAAAGGCAAAAGCATTCATTGACAGAACCAAAGGCAAAAGCATTCATTAAGAAAACCAAAGGCAAAAGCATTCATTAAGAAAACCAAAGGCAAAAGCATTCATTAAGAAAACCAAAGGCAAGAGCATTCATTAACAGAACCAAAGGCAAGAGCATTCATTAACAGAACCAAAGGCAAAAGCATTCATTAAGAAAACCAAAGGCAAAAGCATTCATTAAGAAAACCAAAGGCCAAAGCTAAGACAATCATAAATAGAACCAAAAGCAAAAGCTAAAGCCTTCATTAGCAGATCCAAAGGCAAAAACAGGATCATTATTATTTAGTTCGTAAAGATCAGACATTGCCACATTACTAAAAGTACTAAGTATACTGTTTGTTTTGTTGATTTTTTTTTAATGCTCAATACTTGCTATGAAGCTAAATGGGGAGCTGCTGAAATGTTCTTAGTACTTTCCAGTTCCCAAAATCTGACTAAATATCAAAAGAATTTGTTTGGCAATCCTTCTTGGTTAGACTGAGAATTTTTCTGTATCCCGACATAGAGTCATAACGAAATCCTCAAAATACAATGTTATTTAAGAAACTAATAGAAAAAAGCAAAACATTTTGATTAAATTATTAAATAATTAAAATTACAATAAATAAAACAAAAAATAAGACAGTTTTTCATATTATAAATAAGCTTCTATTATTATTATTAGTTTGTAGTAGTAGTTGTAGTAACAACAACAGTAACAGTAGTAGTAACCATCGTCACAGTAGTAACAGTTTTGTAGCAGCAGCAACAACCATCACTTTAATGTATGGTAGAAAACAATAAAATCCAGTTCTTGGAATCATAATTTCTGGAGGCAGTGTTATCAGAACAAGAATGTATTCAGATATGCTTGTTAACCTCTACTACTGTTAGCCTCTGTATGGATTATGAAATTAACCGATTAATATTCACTGTCCCCAAAATAGGAAGATGGACATCAAGAGTTATCAGTAGAAACCTATAATACCAATAAACCTATAATACCAGATATGTTTTATAAATGTACAATTAATGCTGAATTTTTAATTTTAATAATTAATACCCGCATTTATCATGGGCATTAATGTTAAATTTTCCAATACAGAATTCATTTTAGAACAAGATTTCTTTTTATCCCCAACAGTCAGAGAAAGAAAGGATTCTATTCAATTTATTTAGTTAATTTTTTTTTTATTATTTTTATTCAAGATAGTAACAAGAGATTTGTTTTAAAACAATGTCATAAGTTTAGAAATCTACTGCATCTAAAACTAAAAGCCAACTAATAAGTCGTAACAATCTCAACTCTACGATATGCTCTGATAAGGAATGAAAAAGTGCATAAATACAGACAAAAAAAAAATAATGTCTTTGATAAATATTAGTATTTGTGATATGATCAACTCACCTGGCGTTGTTCTTCATCACACTTGTCTTTCATTTCTTTCACATTACTCTCCAAGTTGGAACGCTTAAGTTAGAGAGAATGGAGTAACAAAAAAAAAAAAAAAAAAAAAAAAAAAAAAGCAAATTAGAAAATGTTTTAAATAAAATGGTAAAGTTTGCCTTTTACATCAGGTATATATATATATATATATATATATATATATATATATATAGAGAGAGAGAGAGAGAGAGAACTGTTAACAATACACAGATGGAATCAACAGAATTTCAATTTATTTAACATTTAATGTTTGTAAGTTCCTTGTGAAATGAACAAGGGCAGCTAAAGTGTCCAAAGGGCAAAAATTCAGTTGCTTTTCAGAAACGAAAAGTGAAAATAATTGAGGTTAAAGGTTGTGGAATTTAGTTAATAAAATCTGAAAGAAACACATCGGTTCAACAAAGGCTGAGAGTGCCTCAGCCTGGCACAAGGCTGAAAGAACCTCGGTCGGGTACAAGGCCAAAACTGCCTCGGCCAAGATCCCCTCAGTCTGGCAGAATTCAAGAGTACCTTTGTCCAGCAAAGGCAGAAACCTTTCTTTTTTTTCTTTTTAACTAAGAGTGTTACTACATTTTGGTATTCTAGCCTAAGTCAATCATCCATCAAGACAAAGATAATAAAAATTAAAACTACTTTGACATTATAAGGAAGACCCCTCCTATTGTATAATGGTCAATTTTTGATATGCGAATTTTGATTCTCACTGAGTGCCTCATATTTGTGGCCATGTCTTACTAACTTAAGCTTAGTAAATAACTACTAGTTACATCTTTCCCAAATAGTGCTCAGAGTCAGTGTTCAAAACCCAGGTAAAAACTCAAGTTTCAAATGTCATCTTCACTTAGAAGACTGGCACAACAAAATTTTCCTAAACTCATTTGCACCCTATTTGAATTTGTCTTGTACTAAACTGAGTAAATATGAAGATACCTACCAAATGCAAAGGAATGATTTTAGACAAGATACTGAAAAATCAATAATTTCATCCTTTAATGACTAATTGTTTTACAGGCATCTGAAGATTGCTTGATTGTTTTTATGGCTTATCAACCATTTGTAGATTACTTAAATAGCCAAAACCTATTTTCACTTCTTTTTTTTTTCAACAATTTTTTTGAGAATAACAATGATTTTCCAGATACAAGTTCTATAATTTAACCCATAGCTAGGGAGAGATGGATTCATAACTTTCCCAAGGGTAGTGAATGCAACAAACCTAAAATAAACCTTAGAAGAAGTAAAAGAAAAAAAAAAAAAAAAAAAAAAAAAGAGGATATGTAATTTTTTCTTTGTCTTGAGATCGGTGCTAATGCAGTTACATCTCCAGTTGGCCCTTGGAGCCACTTTTATATAAGAAGTCCAAACCTCCTCTGGTTTTAAAATAAATAAGCTTTTAAATCATTTAAACTCTAGCATTGAAGGTCCTATATAAGAAAATCAAATCAAGATTTCACACTGACTTCACTGCCTGATTACTACAAAAACAACAGCAAAGGAATGAACAACATTTTAGATTGAAAATCTGTGCATGTATGTAGACAGAACAAAATGACCACCTCCCAAATGCTTTACTGAAAATTCCAACTTTAAAGCTGTTTACACAAAACATAAAAACCATCAAAGTAAATAAAGTTAAAATATTAAAAGGCCTTCACACAAGACAATTATTCGCTTCATTCTATGGAAGACCGAACAGTAAATGACGAATCTACAATTACTTACATTATTTACATGATGACTTTTGTCCTCATCTTTGTTGTTATTATCACAACATTTCGGCCATTGTGGCCTTCATCAGGTGTTTGTCAGTCTGGATAACCTTTAAGGAATTTTGAACTAAACACTTTATTTAATCTATGGGATTGTTCTCATTCCACTGACAGATATTCTTGTCTAGTTCTTATTTTTAGTATTACTCAGTTATTGCTCATCCCTATTCCACTGAATCCAAGTACATACTACCCGGCCCAGGGATTGAACTCACAATTACCAAGTTGACAAGCATTTGAAGACCAAAGAGCACAATGACCAAAATGTTGTGATAGTCGCAACAAGGTTGAGGCCAATAGTCTGCATATTAATAATGATGTCATTAATATAATAACTTAATATAGTAACTTTTTATTGCAAATGTCAAACTGTTAGTAATCAACACAGATTGATAATAAAGAATAAACCTGTCAGGAAAAACTTAGATACCTTTTGCTTTTGGAAATCTGTCTTGACACAACAGCTGCATTATCACTTAGACTACAAAAACTTTTGGGTGACAGGCATTCAAGTAGAACCATAGAAGGATTATCTGAGGGTTACAAGTTGAAAATTAATAACTGACAACATTTTATCTAAGAAAATCAGAGAAGTAATATTACTACTGATGGTAATGGTTATATCAGCAGTTTCCTTATAAGGAAACATTTGGCATTCATTGGCTGAGCAGCCAGTACTGTTTTTGGTTGAAATATATAAAATCTTTCTCTAAAACAATTTTTCAGAAAAATAAATTTGTCAAGTCCAGTAGCTTGATGGAGATTTCCATCCTAACCTTTTATTTGAAGTAGTGAGGAATGTGAATATTACTTTCTCACAGAGTTACATGTGATATCTATTTTAACTGTTGCTGTTGTTGAAAGTTCTCAAGTGATGTGGTTTTTGTTATACTAATAGCATAGCAAGAAAAGATAAGAAATGGCCACCCATTTAGACGTGAATGATTGTCAGTCAAAGGCTCCATATTTGAAGCATTAAGGCAGATGTTGTATTGACTGACTTCCCAAACAAAAACAAAAAAAAAGATGCAAATTCTTTTTCATTCTTGATCTATTACCATAGAACAACAGTCGTATAATTGCAATAAAAACGTACTGGAACTAATATGGTGATTTTAAGCATCACTAAGATGTGGCACAAGGCTGAATGTATGGAGCACACAGTGAGGATCAAAGTCACTACTCAGTTGTAATCATTCTTGCAAGAGTAACTTGCTAACCATTACACCACTTCAAGGTGTCCATGTGCTTTTCTAAGTATAGCTTAGATGTGGCACAAGGCCAAAAGTATGGATACCCAGTGAGTAATTATTCTAGCAAGATAAGCTTGCTAGGCCATTATACCAAATCAAAGTGCCCCCCTACTTGAACTAATATGGAAGAAATATTCATTGAAAAATTAATAACTGCCAATGCTTCATATAAAAATCTCAAAAACTAATTGTTAGTCATTGCTCATAGTGTAGGTTATTCCCACATAGCTTTGCTGGTTTTGCCAAGAAGTCGCCAGAGGGCACTGTCAAGAAGCTATAAAAAAGGGAGACTTCCTGTTCTCTCTCTCTCTCTTCCTCTGAACATGCTTTAGTTGCAACACCACCAAGACATTGTTCCCAAGCATGGGGAAATTTTTTCCCCTTAGTGACTGAACACACACACACACACACACAGATACGTGTATCACCCACACAATTCCTAATTTTCAATATCTCCTTTCTTTTGCATGCATAACTATTGCATTTCCTCTCCTTTGTTACTCAGTTATATAAAAAGAAAAATATAAAATATCACCTTGTTGAAATTGTCTTCCATTTCCATACACCCATCATTTACACGTGTCAGTTTTAGTTGCCCTGCTTTTAGTCTAACTAGGGGCTGTGTTTAAACAATGTACAGGGTGATCTGAAAGTCTTGTTATGCCTACATAATATAATTTTCTATTTCAATGCTTTGTGGGGGTATTATCAAGGAGTGTTTCCCATGAACAATACCAAAATACCCATCAGTTGAAGGACATCATTTGGAGAGCCTTTGCAACAATCAACTAAGCACAACTTCATAAAATATCACACCGGACATGGCATCGCATCATTTTGTGCCATGAAAATGATGGTTTAAATAGCATCACTTTCAGCAACTTGAATTTGATTCGAGGAAGCAAATCACACGTACAATTCCCTAGTTTCAATGTCTCCTTTCTTTTGCATGCATAACTATTGTATTTCCCCTCCTTTGTTACCCAGTTATATAAAAAGAAAAATATCACCTTGTTGAAATTGTCCGCCATTTCTTTACACACATCATTTACATGTGCAAAATATTGTTGCCACCGCTTTTAGTTGAACTAGGAGCAGTGCTGCAATAGTTTGGTGTCCACATGGTTTCAGTATGCAACTACTGGGACAATAGAAAAAAACAATGCTGTGCCTTACATTATCAGCCATTTCATGTTTTATTGATATATAAAAGAAAATGCTTATTGGAATTTGAAGGTCTCAATATTGGCAGCCTCTGTTTGCACAGTTACGGTTGAAAGCCAAGTTCATTACACACAGATGTATAAAAATGGTAGACATTTGTATGAAATGTCATGGTATTTTGAAGTCTCAAATTAATAATCAGTTTGTGAGTTTGAAGCTGACTTGATGGCTAAATGTTGAGTGATGTTTAATCACTCCAGAGATTGCAAAGTGAAGTTAACTGAAAATCATAGACAATTCCAATGCCGTTCCTATAAGGGCAATCTTATGACTGTCTCACAATTCTATGTCCAATGACAAGAAAGAAATTATTTTAAAAAAATCTGTCTTTGCCAAGATATGCAATTTTTAAGTGGTAAAGTAGTGGGCCTTTGTTAAAACAACAATTCAAACATACGCCGGTCTTTTGAAGGCAGAGATTGAAACCTGGCTTGAGAAGAAACCAAATGCTTTCAGACATAATTTTTAAGCATGACAATGCCTCATCACATACGGCAACGAAAACTAATGAAGATTCAAATAAAATGTTTTTTAAAAAACACTCCTTTGATGAAGTAGCTAGCATGTTTGCCCAACTATAACCCAACTGAAAACACATGGAGCATGATGGAAAGAAAGGCTTATATTGGTAGATGATAATGACGAACTTTGGAATACTATTCTGGATGCTATGTAGTCTGTTTGAAATGAAGCAATACAAAAAATATGAAGCTTACAAAAATCAATAAGTGAATGCCTTCTAAAACTAGTTTGAGAATATGAAGTCTGAGTCTACATT